GAACGAGTGAATGTTTAGTGGGGAAAAGTTATCCGGGCAACCGTAATAGCCTAGCGATAACACAGCACCAACTCATGAGGTATTGCAGATTGTGTTACTTCTCCGGCTGTTAGTCATTCTCTGCTGACATTTTTCATTTGTTAAGTTTGCTGCTAAGAAAGTTGTTTCACTGTTTCGTGTTGGACAAATTTTGGTATTCGTTGCAAAAGTTTCCCAAAGTGTAAGATTGAAAATAGATTCCATTCTTTTTTCAATTTTTGCTCTTTTTCATTTTTTTTATTTTTTATTCTTCTGTCAAGTTCCAGTTACTAGGCTCAAAATATCTCGGCATTTTCATGTAGAGGTGAGAAGAGCGTTTAAGACAGTTTTGTAGTCGTTGAAGAAGAGTGTTGTCCTGAAAAGGACAGTATATCACATATCGTTGCTGCTCACCAAGATGGCTGATTGGAGGCCTACTGGAAAATGTCTGGATTCAGGATCGTAAAGGGACGTTTTTTTTATGTCAAAGATCATAATTCAGAATTTTATAATAAAAATCATTGAGTTGTAAAATGAAAAATAAATAAAATTATTTAGCCATTCCTAGATTATACCAAGCCTGGTAGAATAGCCGATATACCCTATATATCCGATATTTGGATTTGGATTAATATTAAAAATGTCCCCACCCGGCAAAAAAAGTAGGGGTCCGTTCAGGTATAAAATGTGAACCTGCAATACTGTGGTAGGTAATTGACAAAATCTCGCCTCCTTTTTTCGATGATGTTGAACAAAAACACAATTAGATGTGCGTCTCAACAAGCTGTTTTAAAGATCGCATCCGAGAAGAGTGGAACGAGTGGATGGTTAGTAAGGAAAAGTCATCCAGTCAACCGTAATAGCCTAGCGATAACACAGCACCAACTCATTGTAGATTGTGTTAGTTAATTGACAGCATCTCCACACCATTTTTTCATTAGAATTTGAGTGTAAAGAAAGTATATACTTAATGAATTTATTTAATAAATTCAATACAGTTTAAAATACGATTTGGTGGGGGATGTCTTATACCTTTAATCCATAACCCGAAACCGCCATTTTAACTTGAAAAATTTGGGGATCGTCTTATACATCTTAAACGCCAACATACACGGTAGCCAATACAGAAATTCAACAGTAACTGAAATAAGTTATGAAATTTGCAGGTTAAGTTTCTGCTGCCAGAAAATCATTTACAAAGAGAGACCTCATCAAGAAGTGCAAGCTAATTGCCGTGTCAGCATTATATCCCGAGAAAGGGGAAGGTATTGCAAAATGTCAATCGCTCACACACGATGTTACAAAAAAAAGTAGCCGTACAATGCAGACAGAGTAATTAGCTTGCACTTCTCCAGACTGCAAAAATACTGGACAACTTTTTATTCGAAGAATGTATAAAATTTATACACGTATGAAGGTCGTGTTGTCCTGTAGCATTTAACATATTTTTAAGGAAATTAAAAACATGTTAATATAAAATTGGAAAAAGATTTCACAAACGTAATGTCTTTCTATACTACTGTTCTCCCTACGAGGTGGGGTTTTTCAAGAGCCACTCAAGGTAGAGACTTACTGTGTGGTATTTTATAAGCGCAAAAAAGGACAAGAAGTGAAGCTCCTTAGAACGATTTCCATGAGAATATCTATAGAAAAGGCAGAAGGAAGCCACGTTACAGCTGTAGGAATGAGACTTATGCCGAGATGCCAGGTCAGGGTTGATAAATTTACAGATTCTTCTTTGGATTTATATAGCAGGAGCTATATATCTTCAACGCCCTTCTCCCCCTGACATGCAGCAATATTTTTTGACCAGTGTACCGTAAACTTATTTTTATCGATGTATATTTTTAAAATTATATCAACTTAGCAAAATATTTTTTATTCAAGTCTTCGTTTTGTTTGTTGTTGTCTCCTGTCATTCAATATCTGTTTGCCAGCCAACCATTTGCAAAAGATCCTTGCACTCATTACGGTGGAGTAATGGATAGCGGCTCTGATTGAGGAATCGGAGAGCCGAGTTCGAATTCCACTCAATTCCATTACATTCACTTACGTGCTAATACCCTAGGGAAAGGTATGAATCCTTTTCTTCTCCCTCCAGCTATGGTTAAATAGCAGGACAGACCGGGTTCTATAGCCTTGGATAGCAGAAAGAAATGGCAACCTACTCGTCAGTCGTGTATCGAAAGATACATGACCGTCTAAGCGTGTATCACGAAGGCACCTAACTGACTGGTAACAGGAGCACCAGATCAGATATGACAGCAATATTCAATGCGCAGACAGATGGTGTGTGTGTATATATATATATATATAATTAGGCAAGATGGATTCTGACCAGATTGTCTGATACGACACAGTGGATCAATAATCATAGCAGTAGATCTAGTAATTGATTCAATCAAATATAACTGAGTACCTCCAAAAAGAAAGAAAAAAGTTATTCTTCAAGCTTTTATTTTAATTTTAATTTCAAGCAAATAGATTGAATTTAATATTTCCAATAAGCAAAATACTAATTCTGTATTTCAAAACTTAAATTGAACATCAAATTGCCTCTATTTAAAAAAAAAAAAAAGTACAGAAAAAAAACAACAACAACGCAACGTCGAGCCTAGTTAGTACTTAGATGGGTTGGGAACACGAGGTGCTGTAAACTTGGATGTGCGGATGGTGTAATGGCTAATGGTTCGGAATTATTAATCGGAGAACTGAGTTCCAATTCCGATCGAGTTCCTTATATTCACTTACACGCAAATGCCGTTGGGAATTGTATGAATCCAGCTCTTCTCCCCCCAACTATGGGTTAATTAGTAAGACTTGTATCCCTAAATCATTATCATCTGAAAAAAATCTTTCTGGTTTTAAATAACCTATAAAGGGTTGATAAGCCGTAGAAAACAAATCAGTCAGTTAAAAATATCAACTTAAAATATATCTCATGTAGCCAAGAAGAGATTCCACATTCATCATTAAAATCCAGGGTGACTCATTTTTTTTCATGTGGATATTTAGTTGTCTGTCATTTTAGAGTTGAATATATTAAAATGTTTCCACATATATATAACTGACTTTGTCAAAAGGAATAAAAGTATACACGTGTTTTTAACTTGTTATTTTCTAGTGGTAATAATCTAACGGACACCAATGGAGATAGCTTAAATTCTAAAGTTATGAACATTTTATAAAACTATGAAGGTGATTCTGTTAAGTTTTACTCTTCCTTACGTTGTTTGTAAATGTTTATACACTTTTTCTCATACATCCTTAAATTTGTTCTTGGCTTAGGATTTGTAGGACTTGTATCAGTAAATTATTATTATCTCTAAAAAAATCTTACAATCTAAAAATATTTTCTGGCTTTAAGTAACCTGCAATGGATTGATAGACCGTAAAAAAGAAATCAATTTCACGAAACTTTATTACTAGTCCTTGGCCGCCGGTTGGTTACTCATCTCTCTCGACCATCCCCCAGACGTTGTAGTTCAGGGTGTCTAAATCTAGGAGGTAACATATTCAGAGGGAAATGATCGGGAAAATCCTTTACTGGGCCAAGTGGATGCGAGTAGAATCCTGCTAAAACAAGTATGGCATTTCATGGTCACTATTCGATCCAAGACTTGAACATTGTATCCAGAATGTAGGCAGTAAAATTGACCAAAAAGTTGAGCGACAAAACAAGGCCTTCAGAACCGTTCACTGATGATGTGAACCCGGGGTCGAAACCTCACCCTTGGATTTGTGCCAACTGTTGTTCATCTGCTGTCAGTGGGGATTAATCAGAACGTTTAGGGTAACTTGAACAGCCATCTTAAGTATCACAAGAACTCCATGTCTGATAAGGGATTCCGCCATTTTAAGATGGTCAGTTCCCGTTGACTTTATGCTTCCGTGGCTAAGAAGGAGTTCGAGGAATTCGACTGGCATTATGTCTTTCTCTTCTCTGTGAATGTTACGTTGCCGTTCGTCGCCTGTAACTTGAAAAAGAGAGGATTTAGGAATAAAGGAAGGACTTTAGAATGAAAGCGACATACTGAAGAAAAAGGAGAGGAGAGAGGTAGACAAGCGTAAGAAAGAGAAGACGAAGGAAAGATAAAAAGAAGGAAAAAGAAATGATAAGAAAACGTAAATAATATGCAAAAGTGGAATTTGGAAAAAGAGTGAAGTATTGAGGAATATTAGTTGATTTAAATTATAATTAATCTGATTTGAAACAAATATTCTTTTACTTTAAGTTTAAAATATCGCAGAAATGTATTCTTTTAACACAGCGGTAGTTGTTTATTTAAGGTGTTGATAATGGATGTTTATGTAATTTTTTTTCTAGGGAGATTTATCTGTAAAAATAATTGAAGAATATAACGTGAGCGCCTTTTAATATAATTTGTATGTACTGAGTAATTAAAAAATTTAGGAAAATATTCTCCGTAATCTAATATTTTATTCAATTCTAGATAATTTGTCTTTAAATTTACTATAGTTACCGCTCTTATTTTCTGATAATGTCGTGTATGGTCGTCCATATCTGCAAAGATCGACATAAAAAAAAAAAAAATGATGATTTAAATTCTCCAAGGAGTTCTACTTTTAACTAATATAAATATTAAGTGTTTGAAAATTTAATTTTTTCAAAATTTCATAAAATTAAGTGTGTGTATGTTTAACAGATATTAAAAAATACTTTACCAAATTTTTTTAAAAAATAAAATGTTCTAAAATAATTGAATTTATTTTCGAATGTCTCTTGAAAGTTTCATTAAAATCCGAAAATTTTTAACGCAATAAGGACACTAAAAGTACCTATTCTAATCTTTGATCTCCCAGCCCACCTAGCTGACGAAAGTGCTAGAAAGGATTAAAAATATAATTAAATAATCAAAAATCATTTGGTCTTTCTTGTTAATGAGTTCTTGACAGTAAAACTGCCTTTTTTTTTATCAAGTTTCGGGCATTTTTTTCATCACGGTATGCTCATTTTTCAGCGCATTAGTAGAGGTACCTACAGACAAATGGGAAAATATCTATCTATCTATCTATCTATCTATCTATCTATCTATCTATCTATCCTAGTCTGATCCTATCTATCTATCTATCTATCTATCTATCTATCTATCTATCTCAGTCTGATTCTATCTATCTATCTATCTCAGTCTGAATCTATCTATCTATCTATCTATCTATCTATCTATCTATCTATCTATCTATCTATCTATCCCAGTCTGATCCTATCTATCTATCTATCTATCTATCTATCTATCTATCTATCTATCTATCTATCTAAAAAAAACAAAACGAAATGGTGGAGAAAGACGGCCTGAGACACAACCAAGAAAGAAGAGAGAAACAAATTCGTGGAAGCCAACTGAGAAATGACGGTAAGTGAATGATGAAAAGGAATTAAAAAAAAATCAGACGTAATAAAAAAAACCCCCCAAAAACGAGGGTAATGGGAGAATTAAAAGAAAAGAAAAATGAAAGGAAGCAGACGACACGAAAATGATGGCGAAACAAATGGAAAAAATGTATTAATTTCATTTGAACTTAAAGGATTTTCCGACAATTTTTAGTGTATTACACACTTTGTTTTAGAATTCAACACGCGCAAAGATCACAATCACACGAAAGCGCACACAGAATATATATATATATATATATATATATATATATATATATGTGTGTGTGTGTGTGTGTGTGTGTGTGTGTGTGTGTGTGTAAGGGATAATTTCGATAAAAGTGTTATTAAAAAATACAGTTGCTGGGCATGAGGCATATAACAGAAATACGAAACGAGAGATGGAAAAAAAGTAGATGGAAGAGGTGAAGAGAATAGGAAGAAGGAGGAGGCCATGCATATGGATGCGGCTTGTTCAATATGTGTAGCGGTCTAAAATGACGAGCTTAATATGTGTTTCTCGTTTTAATTTATTCCTTTTACAAACAACCATCAAAAGGGAAGATTACACAAATGCTAATATTTACATTTGCACACACGAACATCTCTTTTTTCTCCCTCTCTCTCCCTATATATATATATATATATATATATATATATATATATATATATCTACTAGCATTATAACCTGTCCTTGACCGGATCTTTCATTACTAGGTATTCTTGCAGTTTAATTGGAGCAATTTAAATTTAAAGTCAGCCCAAATATGTGGGGGGGTAACAATTTGTATGGGAGGACCTGAAAAGGGGACTGCATAATAATAAATAATTTCATTGTAATAATTTAAACTATTTATTATTATTAAAGTTTTTATGAAAGGTATATATTCAAGAACAGATAGTAAACAGTAAAACGTTGCTGAGAGTTATAATGGACAGAAAGTAGTGGAGAGCTATTGTCGCCAGCAATTTAGACTCAAAGCCGACACTGAAGAATTATATATCAAACAAAAAAAAATCATCAAAATCGGATGAAAACTGTGGAAAACAACCTCCGATCACACACATTCATACATACACACACACATTTTGAGAATATATATATATATATATATATATATATATATATATATGTGTGTGTGTGTGTGTATATGAACCTAAAGTGGTCTGTTTTTTTTATTTAAATTATTTGCTCTGGATTTACATTGAGCTCTCTGGATTTTATCCTCCTTAGGTTTACCATACGGATTACCTAGTTTATCATAAACTTTATATATATATATATATATATATATATATATATATATATATATATATATATATATATAATAGATGCTTTTAAAGATTCGTTAAAAATGAGCTTGCATAAAAAATGCCCCAAACTTAATAAAAACAAAGTTTTATCGTGAAAATCTTTTTGGTGTTATGAGAAAAGACCAAAGGATTTTTTGATTATTAAATTAGATTTTTTAATCCATTTCAAAATCTTTGAAATTTAGATTGAAGATTTTGTTTTTCTTGCCTTAGTGGGTGACCATAAATTAATATGGGAGATGGTAACGACTTTTTTTTTTTGCGGCGCAAAATTCTTGCAAAAATCTGATAATTGCCGGATTTTAATGAAAGATTTAAAACTTATTCACAAATGAACTAAATTATTTTTTTTTTTTTTTAAAATTCCTTTCTAAAAAATCTTTGAAAAATTATTTTTTAAAATTTGTTAAAACACACGTTCGTTTTAAACAATGCGAATTAAATTTACCACCCTGTGCTTTCGAGACTCTTAATAAAGGAGGGATGTGCCGGAAGGCTGTTAAATATAATTCATATATGTATCCGCGAAAATATATCGTTTGAAATAATTAATAACACACACACACACACACACACACACACACACACACACACACACACACACACACACACACACATATATATATATATAGAGATTTTCGTTGTTGGAAGTGCTATCTGATGATCCGGCGTCCTTTTAAAAGGACTCTGGTGAAATAAATTATTATAATGGTACCTTAAAATGGTCTGTTTTTCTTTTAAATATTAGCTCTGGATTTACATTGAGCTCTCAGGATTTCATCCTCTTTGGGATTACCATACGGATTGCCAAGTTCTTCATAACAACTATATATATATATATATATATATATATATATATATATATATATATATATATATATATATTATAAAATTAATTGATTTAAATATGTCCTTTTCGTTACACAGTTCTAACTGTGTAGTAAAAAAAAACATATTTAAATCAATTAATTATAATATTAATGTTCTGTTAATTTACATTGAACACTATTTGTAAAAATAAAAATATCTATAAGAACACGGATTATATATCTTACTGTCCTTTTTTTTATATATATATATATATATATATATATATATATATATATCAGACAACCCTAATCTACCTGCAAACACAGCACCATTTAACCTAAACGTTTTTAAAACTTAATAACTCAGAAATGAACGATTGACATATGTTTCTAAGGAGTTTTTATACATATATATATATATATATATATATATATATATATATATATATATATATATATATATATATATACACATTTCATTAAATAATATAGACAAGTGTTGTCTATTTATTTTTAAAATTTTTCATAACATCTGATAAGTTTAATAGCATTATCGTTGAACGAAGAAAGAAATTCACAATAGTGATCCATATTTTTTTCAATACAATCTAAGCTTTCGGCTTACTTAAGCCATTATCAAAGATGTCAATTACAACATATTAAACAATATACGGACAAGACAGTGATGATAGTCTGTCAATTTTTACATAAACTTAAGTGAAAAAAATATTAAGCTTTATTTTCCATAATTTTGCTACACGTGTTTCCGGTCTCGCGACCGTCATCAGGCAAAGCGTGCAGATTTTCACATATTAAAAATAATTAATTTTTTCTGTTTTTCGATGTTAAATATTCTTGATAGGAGACATTGTCTTTTTTGTGTGTTAATCACCCAAATGTCTTTCTTCAACTGCTTGATGAAGGTCGCGAGACTGGAAACATGTGTAGCAAAATTATGGAAAATAAAGCATAATATTTAAAAAAAAAAAAAACAACAACAAAAAAACGTTTGTGGTTTCTCTCTTCTTTTTACTATAAACACTTTTCTCTCGAATTCGACTTATGAGAGTCAAGCAGATCAGTTTCCAGGAAAACGACAGCCAGACACCGACACATGAGATTTGATTATAGTGGTGAAGGCTTCGTGCAGGACCATCCACACTTTTTGAAGGGACGAATACAGAGACCTGGTGCACCAAATGCCACAAGGTTCCCAAACGACCCTCCGCAGGTTTTGAATTCAGAGTTGTCCTTCTCCTAGACCAGTTGCCATCCAAGGCTATAGAAACCAGTCTGCTTTGCTATTTACCTATAGCTGGGTGAGAAGAAGAGGATTCACACCTTTCCCAAGGGTATTAGTACGTAAGTGAATGCAATGCATACGACTGGTATATATATATATATATATATATATATATATATATATATATCCACTCTTAATTTAAAAAAGTGTAAAGTGATGGAGATTCTTGTTATAAACAATGAAGAAAGCAGCTCTTAATAACATTAATTATGCACACAACCACTATTTATTGGCCATATATGGAAATATAGACAATATGTACTTTTGAACACTTTTTAAAATAGCACTTAAAATCATCCTTAAAAATTAGCCGAAACTTCATGGAAGCAAGCAACTTATTAGTAATTCTACATTCACTGTCCCGAAAAGAAGAAACTTGTACATATACAAGAAAAAAACATAACAAAAATACTAAAACGTACTTTGACAGTTCTGTTCAACATGTTCAACATGTATTAAAGAGTGTTTGTTACCTCAGTAAGCAGTTATATATCCCCCATTTTCAATCTGTCTTTTATTGTTTCTTTCAGTTCCGGGAAGGCCGTAACACTGAGAGTCATTCGTGATTTCATCCGACCCAAAGGAGAAACGTAGAGAGAAGCGTGAAGCGAATGATGGCTGGAAGATTATTGTCGGTCATAACATCGAAACAAATGCAAAAATCGATACGTTTTTTATGTCTTTAGAGACATCGGCTTTCATTTTGCAGCACTCAAAGCGGAAAGCATGAGACGTTGAAACGTGATGCGTATATAAAAGAAACATATGGCCAACGAAAATAGAAGAGAATTTGATGCCTTGTCTAAAATAATTGAGGCTATCATTTTTGGTTTTTCTTCGTTATCGACCCAAGAAAAAGGCATGTTCCAGATGCTCCCTTTAGGAAGATTCGTCGCTTGTCAGTAGGGTCTTTGGGTCAAGAAAGGAACTCGAACTAATAACGAAATTTTGAAACTAATCTTCCTTAATAGACAAGAGGGCTCCCATAGGAATCGTTAGAGGGTCTTTTTCAAGGGGAAAACGAAATTTTGAAACTAATCTTCCTTAATAGACAAGAGAAAGGCATGAATTAGATGCTCCCTGGGGGAAAATCCCTTACTCGTCAAAATGTGATTTGTATTGACGAATAGAACAAGTGATGCTAGATTTTTTGTATTAATGGTTGAGAGAAAGTTATGAACCGGTTCTTACCTAAGTGGTTTATTGAAGTGATGAATCGATGAAAAGAATTAAAATTCTTTTACTTATGCCCCTGATTCGCCAATTCTCTAACACATACACAGATTACTTAACAGTAATTTCTCTAACAATATAGTTGATAAAAAATTAAACAACCTTAGAAAAATAATTTGAAGCTAATTCAAAAAGTAGAAATGTACCAAAGTAAAGGAATGAAGTAAGCAGAAACGAAACAAAATAATTAAAAAAATTCTCATTCATAGATACAAAGAGAGAGTAAAATGTCAAAACTAAACAAATACCACTTACCATTTATTGCAG